GGTAATTGATAGCTTTCTTTGTATAGTTACAGCCTTTGTATATACCGTAGATAAAGAAGCACATTAAAGGCAATAAAAAAAAGCACCATGTAGAAAAAAATACAAGGCAAAAAGTAACATAAATCACACAATAATAGGTGCGGCAGTGAAAAACAAAGTATACGAAGTATATAAAATTGCTTTCCCTGGCTTACTGCTGTGTTGCAGGTGGTGAATGACATCACAGCGTTCTACAAGCAGACCTACAACAATTACAAGACAACAAATGACGAGCGCCTCAAAGAGACTCTGCGGGTGATTCAAACAGGGGTGAGCCACGTCTGCTTTTGTTTCTGCTTCTTTCTAATACAGACGGACTCTGTAAAAAGAAACTTGGCACCAAAGTTGTTTTCAAGCAAATGCAATGTATTCCCATGGGAAGTTATTTTTGACACCTAGCAAAACTTTTTAAAACTCTCCACATGAAGTATTGTCCATAATATTTAAGATGATTAGAAGCTGCAAATTCAGCAAAGTACCTTAACAGTTCAGCATTTTAGAAAATGGACTCATACATTTTTTGTTATTGCTAAAGCTGAGAGGCAATTAGTCTATAAAGAGTGTAAGGAAAGGGAACCAGCCAGACTCCAAAGGTCAATAACAGGCCTACCAGCACCTCTGTAATTCACTAATTAAAGGTCCTGTGTGCAGGATTTAAAGGGATATATTGGTAGAAATGGAGCAACGCCTGCGAGCTAGTTCAGGCAGTCAATTCGAGCTGCACTGATCCATACACACACATCATATGTCATTCTCCATATGCCATCTACAAAACACACCCTCCCAATTTGGCAGTCTAATTAAGCTGCAAAATCTTCCCAGCTCTCCCTTTGCCTCGTGTATGCCGCTGCTGCCCTGCATCAGTACTGCTGCTTGCTCTTTCAGCCCCACCTCCACTCCAGCATCTACCTGCAGGCTCCAACGGGTATTTAATGATCACTCCCCAATATCTCATGTAAACATACCTGCGGGGAGCGATGAGGCCGGAGTCTAGACACCAGACTCTAACGGTTAACATTTAAAATGTGAGTTATCTGACTGAAATATAATAGGTGTGTTTTCTTAAATTTATAATCACCCGAAAATAAAAATAGTTGTTTTTTTGTTACCATAGACTGAGGCATTTATATCGATGTAGCATGTCCATAGAGTTTGTCATGTTTTACAGTCAAGTTTCTACAATAGCCCAGAACTAAAACCAAACACTGGCTGTAGATAACACCATTCATGTTTTTGCGTCAGCCACTTTAGTTAGCAGCCCCTCCACAAGAAGCGGCATTGGAAAATCACAGATTTTTTTTAATGTGAAACTGTTTTATTCAGTGTTTTTATCAGTTTAAATCGGCTCATGCTAAAACCTCCTGAAAGTCTGTATCAGAAAAAAGGTGAGCAGTGAGCATACATTAGCAGGTGCTGGCCTTGCAGCCCATCTGTAACAAGCCGAACAGCACCAGAGAAGCATGAACATGATTTATCATGTTAAATTGAATTAGTCAGCGTTTAACCAGTTTAAATCCCCCGGTCCGATTGTTTTCAAGAGGAGGAGACCTCTGCCGATAACTCCGCTCCCGGTAAAAACCTCCTGAACAATGGACACTTAAGGAATCCTTAGCAGGAGTGGATGCTTGGCACATGGGAGAAGTAGCTGCAATCGTCACTGCTAAATGCCTCTACTGTAAATCCTATGAATCCTGCACTCTACTCCTTAAACATGTTTTATGTTGTTTATTTTGTGCAATAACTGTAATGTAAATTTATTTTTTGTTGTTTTAAATTTACGAGGTGCAGTAACTATTTCTTGTTAAACAACACTATGTATGCATACAGTACCTCTGTGCAGTGAATCTCCTGGTTTCCTGCTGACCTCACTTTGACTTCAGAAAAAAACTGAAACAAAATGTTGAACTATTCCTTTAAAACACTTAGGGATATGTGTTCTTCCTTCTGCAGCTCATATTGTTCTCTCTGCCTTTTTGTATGTTTTCAGCTGAACTGTTGCGGACCAACTGGTACTGTACTAGACACTGACAAAGACACCTGTCCCCGGGGAGAGCCACTTGAGGAGCTCATTACTAAGGTACAACTACCCTGAATGTGTGTATAGATTGGATGCCAACACAGCCGAGTACTTCAGCCAAGAAATGCAGAAACAAAAAAATAACATTTCAACATGAGAAACGATCCAAAAGATCTGACAGATGCCAGTCATGCTTGAGGCTCTGTGAGAGCTGGGGCGATTACTGTACGTCAAATACATAATGATAGTGTGACGCGTTATCAGTCTTCCCTTTGCAGACTAATTTCTTCAACTGCCTTGCAGTGTTACTATGGCAACAATGGTTTACCAGAGCTTGCATGCTCTCCAGCTGTCTGTTATGTGTGCCATACCAGAAGTCATGTTCAGCATAGGTTTAAAGAAAGCTGAAAGGAGTCATGCCTGTGTGTTGCAGAGCTGCCCTGACGCCATTGATGAGGTGTTTGACTCCAAGCTACACATCATAGGAGGAGTGGGCATCACCATTGGCGTCGTCATGGTAAGTGTGTGATTAACTTATCCCAGTGTCTGCTGGGGGATGAACAGAGTGCAGAGATGAGCTAACACAAGTAATGTACATCTCCCTCTGTCTTCCAGGTGTTTGGGATGATCTTTAGCATGCTCCTGTGCTGCGCCATCAGGAAGTCTCGGGAGGTGGTGTGACACCCACCACCACATTCTGGAGCCCTTGTTAATGTTGCATGATGTCATTTCTCGAGTCACATGACTCTCCACTGCCAATAGAAACACTGCTTGTTCAAGGGGGGATATCTAAGCTAGGCCGGGTACAGATATTTCTGATTATTACATAATACTACATCAGTTATAACTGTGCCGCTTACACTTGGGCCCACCTTCCTGGACTAGATAGATGCGATGTGGTTATTAGGCCCAACTATAGAATGGGTGTCATCTGTGCTTCAGTGGCAATGTAGTACAGAAATGTGTAATTTTGTGGTCATTTGATTGAAATTAGTGTTTGTGAACTGCTAATTATCTAAACAAAAGATCATATTATTGTATGCTGATCACATTTCTATTGCTATCACTCGGGGTCACCTACCGGCCAGAAGAGTCATGGATCAGGGCCATGAAAAAGGCAACCACCACCACCACTTCAGCACAGTACAGCAGTAGCCAATGAAATCCTACAGTCCTTTTTGTTATAACACCGACGTCAATCCATGGTGACTAGTAGCCAACTGAATGCCGAGCTGTGAACTGCAGTGACTGTGGTTTCTTCCAGCTTGGTATTGAGAGTAGCATTTTGGTTCCTTCATTGTGGCATTTCATTTGTTCCTTGTCTTTCTTTCTCCACCTCCTAACTTGACCTTTCTTAAAAAAAAGAAAAGCCTTTAATTTTTTGTCACTTTTTGTAAATGTCTTCTTTTTTTATTTGTAAAAGATTTATACACTTAGGTGGTTGTTATGGTACATGTGGTTTGATTGTGTATTTTATAATGTTCTTTTCATTTTACAGAGATTGGGTTGATTTATACCATGTGCACTGTTTCACAGAGACAACAATTAATGAGAGGCAAATAAACCAAAATATACTGACTGAGCTGACTTTGCTGGTACTATATTAAGGCACGCAATCACTCGCACATACACAGTAGGGTTGCACAATATGCAAAAATAATATTTTTTGCATTTATTTTAACCCAAGATTTAAAATAAATGATGATGATGTGATTTTTGCTGAGGTCTGTACCAAAAAAGCATGTTTCCTTACATCTGGATTATGATTTGTAGGCCAGGGCATGTCTGTAGCACCACAATGCTTCATTTATACTGATATGTTTTGACACATTTTATCAAAAACTTGCAGCTCCTACGATTTGGATCTCTTAGCCATATTGTGATTTCAGTAGTATTTTGATTAACTGTGCAGCCCTGATACACAGACAGAGTCAAATGAGCTGTTATTTTTCATTTAGCCTATTTACAAAAGGTCACTGGGTGAAGTTAATTCACTAAATAGCAAAATCTTTACTATTAAATTGACGCAGTATCAAACTGACTACTCCGTGTGTTAGAATTAGCTGTGTAGGATACAGGGGGCATGTAAGGGTTAGAAGGGTGTAGGTGCCTCAATAACACTGAAAACAACATCCAAGTTCTTTTCCATGTGCACCGTGGAAAAAAACATTCTGTCTTTTCCCTCCAGCTTCACCCTCTTTTGATATTTGCGCTCATCAAGAGTGACTCATGTAGAGTTTGATCCGAAGCCCAAACAAAGCCAAGACCTGTCTTTGTTTGTGAGTCATGCCATGACAATTAATTTATGGAAAATTTGTGTTCAAAACTAAACGCACACTGATTACAGTATACGGTGCACGATTATGTATGGCGGTGGGCCTAGTTATTTCTAATGAGTCACCATTTCATCAAAAAAGAGGTGAGAATAGAGTTAGTGTTCCTCTGATTATAGCACGAGGAAGTGCACTTTGATTTGGTTGTTGACAGCCGGGTGTTTCCCTCTCAGACACCCCACCCCCACTATGGAGATAACGCTGATTATAAAAAGGAGCGTGTATACATGCGTGACGACGTCTCCATGTTGTTCTGTGTGTGTGCCTTTTATGTAACAGAATGTGTTCTGGCCAAGGGAAGAAGGCAGGAAAATTGAGATAAGGAAGAGAAATGTTGAAAAATAGGAACCATGATGAGAAGTGAAGAGGAAAGAGGCCAACGTCAACACTGACTCACTCACACTACTTCACATTAACACAGTAGATAAAGACTAAATTATTTGATAACAACTTCACATTCTTTCCTCTGCACAGAGTAACGCTAAGTTGTTTGATGTTTTCTTTTTTACTGTTATTGCCAAACCTAGCCTTGATTCAGGACAGGTTGGTGCAGAACCACCATTACATTTTATTGGCCCATAAACAGCACCACACAATAGTACTGCCATCAATGTAATTTATTATCTCAGTGGAAGTATAAACCTGCATTACAAATACGCATCACAAACATTTTGTAGTGAGATAAATAAATTGTTTTGAAAAAAAAAATACTGTGGCCGTACAAAAATTAATGTAGCAGTCTATATTAAAGTGCAAATTATTTCCTCCAACTTTTGAATGATACCTGAGTAAGTACAGAGAGAAACTAGAAACTGAGTTTATGGCTTTCATCTCGGGGCACAATACAATCTCAATCTTCAGCCTCGTCCTCTGTGCCCTCCCAGGAAATGTTTGCAAGTCTGCGTGACTGAGCGTGTGAGGCAGTGCATGTGTGCAGCACAGTATCCACATGAAGAAGACTTGAGGCACACTGCAGCACGGCCAGAAGCAGCTTGTATTTACAGGAGACAGATTCAAGGCCCAAGTGCGACATAAAAACTTTTGATGGCATGTCAGCTTCTCTACAACAATGTATGCTTAGTTTATCCTCCTCTAGAGGAAATTCGCTTTTGCCCTGATCCTGTGTGGGGATTGTGTTGCGTTCTTGTTTGTATACAAGGCCAAAAGGGTGGGAATTATTTTGAATAAAACTCAGGAGCCTAGTTTGAATTTGCAGGAAATGTCTCAGGCTGTGGGAGTAAATCTGTCGGGGAATGCTAAACAGAGCATTTGCCAAGAGCTGGCAAACAGCAGGGATATCCATATTTGTATCATCAGAAACTGAGCAGCTGCGGCCATGTTGTAGGAGGACATGGTTTAAGAGGAACTCAAATGTCCCACCAGCAGGTATGACACAGCCTGGCTCCAACACACACTGCTGGAGGAGAGGTGCATTAGGGATCTGATTATCTGTATGTAAAGATGAGCTTTTGTCTGTGTGCAAGGTCCTCTTTGATGCTGTAGGTGCAGTCATACTCAAGGGCTCCCAAGTTGAAAGTAGCATGCGGATGGCATCTTGAAACGCACATGCATACTGGTCAGTTTGTCCTTCCCCTGCTCCACAAATGACCAGACTACAGGGTGTGACCATGACCTCTGAATCATGGAAAGCCACATGGACATACCTGTGAAAGAGAAAAAAAGTTTAATTTTGACTTCCATAATTCAAACCACATGAAGAAGATATTGTTAATCAAAGCTCCATGCAGATATATATAATCCATTATTCTTAACTCTTTCTATAGATATATGTGGCTATGTATGCACAGTATATGAGATAGAAAGTCAGACATGATTTCATACCTATGGGCTCCCAGCAGTATTGGTCTGCAAAAGGTCAGTATGGCAACGTGCTCTGGTTCAATCATCAAGCAGTCTGAGACAGGTGTGGCCCCACTTAGCTGGGCAAAGAGAGACAGCTCATCTTCACTGACACATTCCACAACGCACATCTCTGCCTGTGAGGCTAAAGCCAGGACAGCAGCCGACTGTTTCACTGCAGACAGGACCACAGAGACACCCAGACTCTGCAGCTTTGCAATGACACACTCGAGTGACCTTTCTGCCCAGGCACTAAACTGCATAATATTTCTCTCCTTCCTTGAATTCTCCTCCACCCCGTGCTCTCCACATCCCAGCTCCAGCACTTCTCCCGCACTGAGCAATTCTGGTTGCAGATACCCAGTGAAAACTACAGCTTTGATTGGCTGGTGGTCAGTCTGAGGGCAGGATGTAGCAAAGTCCCTGTGAATGACCTGCCCCTCAATCAAACGTGAGGAACTAATAGGGAAGCCTGATACAGGTGTATGCAATGCAGGGAAGTTGTCATTTACAAACTGGAGTGATGAGGACGGTAGGTCATTTTTAAACTTACAGTGAGCGAGCAGTTCTCAGGTGAGGTCACTAATAAAGTCACAGTGGGTGTGACCCAAACGTGAATGAAAGAATGATGCCAGCAGCTTTTGAACGCTGTGAGAGTTTGTGTGCCCAGGTGATTGTGTCTGTGCAGTTAAATCCTCCCACGAAAGAAAGTATCCATGCGGGCCCACTCCCTTGACAATGAGATCATCCAGCTCCTCCAATGAAAAAGCCAATATTTTGTCAGCCAAGTGCCTGGCAGTGGCAGCCTCTGCTGCTTCCCTGGAGTTATAGGTGTGAGACAGATTAGGCTCCTTGCAAGCCATTGTATGAATCATCCGTAGTAATGACGCCAGCAGCAGGATAAAGGTCTTAGCTCCATCGCCTGTTACAGTGCTGTGTTTCAAGACACACTCCACCACCATCCTAAAATAGAAAAACACACAAACACATTAAAAGCAAAAGTGTGACTTGACAAAGACTATCATAGTGAAAAAGTGGAGTGTGTTACCTGGCCAGTGGATGCTCCAGTTGTAGCGCAGTGAGAATGCGGGTCCCGCTGCGGCTCAACATCGCCTGTCCGGTGTCTCGGGTGAACAGCACCTGTCCTCCTTCAGGGCCAAAACTGCGGAGGATGACTGACTCCAACACACACACAGTCTGCAGAACATGTTCCAGGTGAAGATGCTCCATTGATAGCATTCCTGAAAGGCACACAGGCTAAGGTTTAAAAAAAAAAGACAGGCAGGAGTTTCAACTATGAATTGAAAAATTTTTTTAGAAACAAGGCAACAGACCCAGGATTTATGTAGCAGAGTCAACAGATGTCAATTTTTGTTGCTTACATCTCATGTTCTTGGTTTTAATTATTAATGAATTCCTGCTGTGCTGAGACAGCCTGACTTTATTTGCAATTTACAGAGTGAGTATGAATTATTCATAATAAATTATCTACTACTAATAACTACTTCTACTAGTATCTGTTCAAAGTCTAATATATATGCACTGTGCTCAACCTAAACAGTGATGTATCATTTTTATAACACCCTGATATTAATACTCAGTTTATGTACATTCAGTGTGTGTAGCTGACAAACTTTATGTACACTATATGATATATTGCATGCTTGAATGCAGTGTGTGATGGTAATGGAAGATTTACACTGCACGCTTACATTTACCAAGAATCTTCTGATAGAAAGATGTTATATTACACTTTGTAAGCTTAAGATCTACAAGTTGCTATGGTACAAACTTTTTATAGAGTTTACATTTGACTAACCGTCTGTGGATCTTTGTTAACCGGTACCTGTAACCAGCTGTATGTACGTTAACCATACATACTGTACAAGCCCCAAATACATTCACATACACTGTAAATACGGTAGCATAATGTCTATCAACCATGAATACAGCTCTAAGACAACAAGAAAGGTCCCTTCATATTACAGTGCTACTGAATATTACGCTTTTCATAACAGTGTCCACCGACACCAAATTCAATCAACGTAAGTGTAAACACACCTGTCTAACTCGTAAGTTAACGCTACGTAGATAACGTTAGCATCTGCTTGCTAGCTAGCTAGCTAGTTAGCTAAACCAGTGCGGTGAAGTTGTTTCCGGCTGAGCTTCTTTTATCACAAACCCTTGAAATGAATTAAAAGCACGACTCTCTAGCTGCTAAAAAGAAACTATTCCTTCCCAAGAAAACAATACTTCAATCAGAGAAAACTCACCATCAGTCCAACACGAACGCTTTCTCCGTATCCTAGAGACGAGGCTTCTTCTGTGGTTTGCTGCGCAGATGTAATTCAGATCAGAGATGACTACTGCCACCTAGCGTGTGAAAGCGTCAGTTGCTTTCTATCTCCAAGAACACTGGTACACACACTACATATGCAAAAGTGACTGTGCAGGGATGTTCCCTTTTTATACGCGTGTGCGAGTAGGTAGGATGTTGGTAGTAGAGAGTCCTTCCTAGCATTAAGTGAACACACACTGGACCAGGCTAATGAGTATCCCCAGGTGTGCACCATAAACCTTCAGCAGACTGAGGGGGTTTCAGGATACTATGATAATTCGGGCACTCTCTAACATCCAGTGTGTACAATTTGAACAAATGTAAGCAGTATTGTCAAATTCGCGTGACTTTTGGTGCGAATATATTTCTGGATTATACTTAAAAAACAAACAGGTAGGCTAAATGAAACTAGTGTGGCACTAAGCGCTCTATCACTGCTATAAATGATCAAATTAAAAACTATTAAAAAAAATCTATAATCTCATTATTTGGCAGTGGACAATTGGAAAGTGTAAATTATGAGGTTTCTGTCTATGTTTTTTATGCTTGAATGATAAAAGCTCTTAGAGATATTACTCCAAATACATGACATATTTATCTAAATCCTGCTGCGCTCTCATTGAGAGGCCCCACCTTCACATCCAGCAAATCGTGCACAAAGAATTGTGGATACTTTCTACCTGCTGAGGATACACACATGCATCCTTGAAAATTCTCTGAATGAACGACTCTGTCCTCAGTAGAATTTGAAGGATCCTTGACATTGGAGCAGTCCTTCGGCGGGATTTGCTTACATAGCATCCTTGAATTCTGCCACGTAAGAATCCGTCCTCGACTGTGAGAAACACCCAGGGACTAGTCATAGGAAAAGCAAATGAAAATAAACCGATAACATTAATGATGGCTCTGTTCCATTCTGTGTGCCAGTGAGCTATTCCAGTGAGCCATATACACAACATGAGGGCCTGCCATAAATGGAATGCAGCTATCATTAATATTATTAAATACACCTGTGCTTCTCCTACTATGACAATGTCTGCCATGAAAAATGCCTATCTCCCTGCCTTTACAGGGCTGATAATAGTGCAGAAAAATCCATATGCAAATTTGCAGCACCACAGGCCTTTTGACAGGTCACATTAAAAGCACAGATGATGTAAAGAATAAATTAACGTTAGCTGAATTCCCTTTAACTCTAGCTTCTGTGTCAGGGTTAGTGTGCTATTCAGCAAGCTGGCAAACTGTCACGTCTTGCTGGGAAACTTGGAAAGATCGAAGCCATCGTTAATGTTATCACTAACACCTGTGCATTTCCTACAAGGACATGCCAAAACAGCTTTAAAAAGGCCTTAAGTGGGGTGACCTCTGGCTCAATAGGTGCGCCCAACCTGAAGGCTGAGTCCTTTGCAGCAGCACGGGCTCGATTCCAACCTGTGGCCCTTTGCTGCATGTCATCCCTATTCTCTGTCCCACTTTCCTGTCGGCGTAAGTACAAACATGTCACCTCTAAAAAATACACTTTATTTTTAAGTACAGTGAATTTCCAACACAGACCTTTTATCTTGAAGTGCAGTTTTCTGCTGTAGATTAAGTGACTACTGGACAGCAACTTCACAGAGAATCAGCTCAACAAAATGTCCAAGCGCAAGTATGATGCTGAATGTATTAGACTGTGGGACCTCAAACTAATGACTAAGGAGAAATCTGGACCCCATGGGTGGACCAGTTGGGAACCACTGGTTTACAGTATATCCATCTATTAGCCAAAAGGCCACAGAATATATAGAAGAGTATACCCACTTCTTCCTCTGTAATGTAGCCATCTACCTACTTGTACAATCACCTCATAAACTACAACTACACCTTCTGTTTATAGACATATTTAGCATCCTTAGATGAATTCAGTCCTAATAATCACAACACCAGAATTTTTAATAATATTTCTAACTTTGAAATTGTGTGTCTGTGTATATACGTCTGTGGAGCAGCCTGCCTGAAGACCTGAGGGCCGCAAAGAGTGTTAAAAGCAAACTCAAGACATACCTTTTTAGCCTGGCTTTTAATTGAACTGTCTTTTATTTCATTTTATTATTATTATTATTATTTTATTTTTCATTTATTTTTATTTATGTACTTATTTTTATTCTAATTTTTAAATTTTTGTATTTCTGATTATTGTGTATTTATTTATTTATATATTTATTTATTTAAATCTGTTTTTTTAGCTGTTTTTTTCTATTTCGTTACTTATTTATTCATTTTAACTTATTTATTTATTTACTTATTTATGGGGGGTATTGTTTTCATTGTGTGGAGCACATTGTGTTGCATTCTGTTTGTACGAAAAGTGCTATATAACTAAATAAAGTTTGATTGATTGATTGTGTATATGATGAGTGCCTTTTCTGACTATCTTGTGATGCTGTTTATATGTAATTTGTTCTCCCTTGTAAAAGAGATCTTTGTATTAATTAGTCTCCCTCAATAAATAAGCAAAACTTAATTTTCCACACACATAAATGTGCTGTGGACAAAAAGAGGGATTTTGTTCATGTCAGCTCAAGATTCAAACATGGGCCTCTGGACTGTGTCACAAAAAATAAAATAAAAAAGCACACTTAAACTAAAATGTTTGTCATAAGCAAAATAATTCTATAGTGTATTTTTCTACATGTCCCAGACAGAGGTTATGTCACACTGCCCATCCCCCTACCCCCTCTCTCTTTCCCTCTGTCTCATCCCTCCTTCTGTACAGTATCTCTGTGCATCTCTGGTACCTCAAGGTGAACGGGGCGGGGCCGGAACTTGATCTCCGTGTTGCTGCAGAAACCACATCCTAAGTTTCTAAATCAGGCAACATCATCTATACATAGACAATATGAGACAGTTCTGCTGCTCCTGCCAGATGCACAGATGCACACACACCGACACGCACGCACACACATACGGAGCTGTCCACTCTGAATGTAAATGTCCTCTAGTGCTGAACTCTCACTATGCTAACGAGCCTTTAAAAAGCTGTGTCACTACACTAATGAATATGCATCAGTGGCCCGGTGAGGGTGACCTGTAGGGATGGGACAGAGGTCACGAGAGGTGGGGCGTCAGAAATGAGCACCCGAGCTCCCGTGAGACCTGAATGGACAGAAAAGAACACATTCGCCCGAACACATAACACACACACAGAGGGGAGCAATACAAGATGACCGAGCTGCGAATCCACCTATCCCAAACCCAACCCTGTCTTGCCCTACCCTCCCTCTCTCTTGCTCCAGCTTTCACACTCTTCTTCTTGATGTCTAACAACTGGTGATACATAAACTCTTCCCTACCTCACTGTTTTGTCCGCCTCTCTTGCCCTCTCTGGTCCTGTCAGCCTTTATCCTCCTCCTCCACCTCTCTGTAAGGAAAAGGAGTACCTGTGAGTCTGGACGTTGCCGCTGGGACGACCGAATACAGGTATGTCTCTGGGTCCTTTTTTACCCTCTTTGTTTCATCAATCAAAAGTACTTTGATTTAGTTCTTGCGCCTGAGCCAAGTGAAAAGTAACTGTGTGTAAACCATGAACGCAGAGAAATTTTAATAAGGTCCATGCAGGTCGTTATCGAACACAGGCTGGGGTACAAAATCATCATGGGTGATTTATTGGTTGGTAACTTTCAGTGATTTTCTTTTGCTCCTTCTGAAAGATCTTCTCAAGGTTAAGGAAATATCCAATGTCAAGCTAAAAAAAGGCTGTTTAAACTTTTACATTTTTAGATAAAGAGCTTTCATCTGTCATGACATCATATTTAATACACTGTAATGAAGCTGCAACCTTGTTAGATCTGGTGTAGAAAGAGTTTCAGCTGCATTAATGACTGAAGTTGGGGGACCATATGGTGCAGATACTGAGTCACTCATTATCACCTCTGCAGCAGACTTGAGAAAAAGCCGCCAACGGCATCATTACGCCTTCCTTTGCATGTACCTCGAATTCTTCCGTTTGCTCCCGCAGCTGTCAGTGGCTTCTGTTTGAGCTTTTCAGAAAAAGCAGACATAAACCGAGATCAGTGTCCGCTTGGGTGTGAGATCACATCTGCTGACTCAACCCCAGATATTTAATACCTGTGATGTCTGCAGAATAGACAATAACATATCAAAACATTTTTGCACTTGGGAGTCCAGTCTTGGCAGCGGGACTTTTCTCTCATATACCAAGCGTGACCTTGGCCCGTGAGTCTTACCCCTGGCAGCTCACTGTGGAACAGCAGTGGTCCACGCGTGATGCCTCAACTTCACCTGTCCCCTTCCTCTCCTCCGTCCCTCTCCCTCTGCATGTCAGCAGGTTTGGCAGAGACGGCTGCTTGCATATCCTGTGTTCGAGTGTTAGTGCCAGGCCAGCAGAAACAGGAGAAGTTATATGACACCAATGGTCATACAGTGTCTAGAAGCAGATTATTGCTACAAATACATCTGATCAATAATGCGCTGGTGTGTATGTGTGTTTATGTGATCTGTTTGGTTCCTCAAATTAGATTTTTGCACATTTGGAGGGCATTTGTGAGCCTATTTCTGTTTTGTTGAAGTGCATTGTTCTGTATATTGCACAAGTTGTCATTTTAGGGGCCGAGCTAATATTTTTCTGTTTCTCTGTCTCTCTGCCAGTTTAATTCTGGATCTGCTGTCTTTCCTTAAATAATGACTGGGAACCGTCGAGCTGCCCCAGATGCCCCTGGCACCCCCGATATCCCAACCCACTTGCCAAATGCAACAACCACCCCAGGCCAAATACAACCTGGAGGCCACAATCCCAACAAGTTCATGAGTGAACTGCGCAGCATCCACAGTGAGTAGGACACCTAAGTCCTTCTCCATCCTTGTAGACAGTAATCCCCATGTTCTGGTATAGCATACATGCACGGCACAATTTGCAGGCACCCTCCTGTACATTGTGTAACTCGCAGAAGAAACACATTTATTACAATGTTTTGGTAACTTGACCTTCATCAGCGTGATGACCGCCTAGTTACCCAAACATTTACAAGTTTGACAGTGTGCAGAAGGTTGTCTGCAGACTTTGAAACAGAGGTGTGAAGTGTTCTTTTGCTCTGATAACATAAGTGTATACAATCCTGCCTATGTACTAATATGGTGTGGCGCACTGACACTCAACTTATGACCCAGTAGCGTGACGGGTGGCTGGCCGACCATTTTCTAATTCAGTGGTTCCCAACAGATGGGTCCTGGTCCAAAAGTGGGTCGTGGATCCATTCTGACTGGACCGCAAGTGACTCACAAATGTGTCAAATTTGCAAAAAACACACTTTATTTTTAAGTACAGTGAATTTCTGGCACAGTGCTTTTATTTTGAAGTGCTGTAGAGTGAGTGAACAACGGACAGCTACTTGACAAAGACAGCAAACTAGCTCGACAACATGGGCAAACGCAAGTATGACCCTGAATACATTAAACCATGTGGAGCTTGAACTAATGACTAAGGAGAAATCTGGACCCTGTTGCTGGACCAGTTGGGAACCACTGCTTGAAATCGCAATTAAATAAATTGATTCACACTGGGAATTTCCTTTTGTACTTTGAATGTACATACCAGAGTGCATTAAAAAGCATCAAAATAGAGCCTTTGTATCAAATAAAAAAGTGCCAGGGGAAGATCCCAAGATCCCCCAACAGAGGACTGGCTAATTGGCTATCAATTATTAATGTTTGTTTATTTACTGGCCCCTTGGCCTCCTGTGATCTTGTAAAACTGGCCCCTTGGGCAAAGCAAGTCAAGTATCCCTGGTAGCCATTAAACATGGCATTTCTAGAAGATAATTGGGTCAAATACCCAAGCACCAGAGCCAGGTATAACCCTGGAGGCTTTTGTTAAAGCATGCTAGGCATTAAAGTGTTATTTCATATGTGGCAATTTGGGAGAACAAAAAGTGCTGTAGCTCTGTCTTGTTTCAAGAATATAAATAAGATCGTTATCTGTGTTCCTTATCATTGGAGGTCTGGACTCAGACAGCTGGAATAATTGGATGGCAAATCATTCTCAGGGAGGAAAAGGTGCAGGGAGTGTCTTTGTTTTCAGGGATGTGTGGCTAAATGAGGAAGGGTCAGAAAAGACCAGGATTTGCTCAAATGGGACAGATTAATGACGTTACTTTTAAAAATGGAAATGGACCCTTATCTCCCTGGTGGAGGTGGATTATCTGTTTCTCCTGTGTGGAAGTTATTCCTTTGTATTAGTTCAGATGTGCCAGTTGTATATGCATACTGCCTGTAATGCTATGCGCATGTATAATAGAGAATCAAAACTGCAAGTCATGAAAGATGTCATTGAATATGTCACTTGATATCATAGTCATCTCGCTTCAATTATGCTTTGGAACAAGCAGAATACATAACGGATAGATAAATTGTCACACCATTTATTACAGGTGTATCGGACTTCACTTCGCTTCATCTTCACTTTGTGTATTTTCAATTATGCCGTCTGTGTTTTCAGACTGGATGAGAAAAATAGCTTTATCTTGTAGGGAAAGTTAAGGGTAACATTCTGAACACTGCTGACTAAAAAAGTATGTAAATCAATTATGTATCATCTGTGTGTGTTTTATGTGGTTGTGCAGTGCCATCGTGGGCCGTTGCTGCCCTTTGCATCGTGGTTTTGTGCGTGGCGCTGTCGTGTGCCGTGTGTGTGTGGAAGAAGTGCTTGAAAAAGAAGGACAAGGACAAAGAAAAGGACAAGAAAAAGGGAAAAGAGAAGAGTAACGGAGGCTTTGACACTGAAATGGATGGAGGTTACAAAGAGGTAGGCTACACACATACGCAGTCTCCCCCTGCAGATGTATTGTCCTTGCAATGTATCACCGTCCTGACATCCGGGTCAGCCAGGATTAGTAAAACTGTCAGTGTGTGTTAAGACTAATGGATGTTTTGCACATTGCTCATATTGTAGTAAAGGTTGAGGTCTGAGATGAGCTGTTTTGGAGAGTTGCACTGACGTCAAGGATGCAGGTCACATTTAAACACACTGATGGTGTAAAAACTGCCTGTCCCCTTCAAACAATAAATAAACTTTAGATGGTTACATTATTGTTGTTTAATTGCCTCTGGCTGTGTAATCCTATGCAATACACTGCAGGAACACAGCACATATAGACACTCTACAAGTAGTGAGACAGAAGGTCTTCATTGATTACTTGTAAAGCTATATTTTTTACCTGCATGTAATCTGCGTTTGTTTGCGTGTGTGTATGTGTGGACAGCCGTTGAAAGATGAAGGTACCAAAGAAACAGATCTGTCAGATAATGAGCCTAAGGAGGAGGAGAAGTTGGGGAGACTGCATTTCACATTAGACTACAACTTCACAGATAATACGGTGAGATGCTGTTATTCACTATGACATGTTTTTGCCCACCATCTGCCAGCTCTAAAATGTCACCACTTTAATACTTCTTCTCTCTCTGCCAATTAGATTCTCATCTCTTCTTATTACTTCCCTTTGCTATCACATTCTAGCTGGTGGTCGGCATCTTACAGGCTGCTGAACTTCCTGCCATGGACGTGGGCGGAAGCTCGGACCCTTATGTTAAACTCTATCTGCTCCCGGACAAAAAGAAAAAGTTTGAAACCAAAGTTCATAGGAAGACCCTCGAACCCAACTTCAACGAGACGTTCACATTTAAGGTGAGCTGAAGCTCCTAGATATATTATAAAAGTGAATTATTTATGCCGACTAGGTTCACTATCATCACATACATGTTTCAAATTCTTGTCTTTGATGTGTGTTCTGTAGGTACCGTACACTGAGCTGGGCGGAAAGACGCTGGTGATGACTGTGTACGACTTTGACCGCTTCTCCAAACACGATGCCATAGGAGCTGTGAAGATACTGATGAGCAGTGTGGACTTCAGCCAGTCTCTGCAGGAGTGGAGGGATCTGCAGAAGGCAGAGAAGGAGGAGGTGGGAGCACACTGTGAGAAGGGGAGAGGAGGTGAACTTTGAAAAAGGGATTCGCAAAGTCAAACAGCATAAACAAAAAAAAAATCATGCCTTTAGATTTTCCATAATTAACAGACAGTTTGAAAATAGGTTTCTTTTTATATAATGATGTGTTTCGAGGAAAGTGTTACTGATGCTTGATGTGTCTTTGACTTGAGGGACTGGTGGTGCAAAAGTGGGGGAGGTGTGTCAAATATTTTTTTACGCACTGAGGAGGGACTCACAACTTTAAATAATTGTATTTTGTGTTAATTGAAACACCCTCAGAACCCTAAACAACATCATCAGGTTTGAAAGTGACACCATTTAAGGTAGCAAGAAAGTGTAAAAACAGAAAATATTGTAAGCTTTTCAAATTCATAAGAGGTGTTTGGGCCTATTAAATGTTGGTTTTGTGTGATAGGACCAATGCCAGGTGGCTGTCATGCATCCATATTCTGCTGAAGTGCACACACAGCTTGCATGATGATGCGATTTGTAAGGAGGATTTGCATTTTGCTTGTGAAATTAGCTGCCTAATGTGTTTTTTCATATTTTGGTGTGAATAGAAAAAAATAAATATGGTTAATTATGGTAGAGGGAGGGTCATGTGTTTTCCCCCAGTCACTCACGGAGGTTCTAGGAAAAATATTTGTAGCTCTGGGGAGGGTCAAGATTAAAGAAAAACCTCAGTCACACCCCAGCCGTCCCTCTCCTCTGATAAATAACATACTGTACAATCTCTAAGTAAAATCAAATACTTTCTCCTTTTGATACTTGCACTTAATTTCAAAGCCAGGACTACTGCACAGAATAGTCACCTCTGTTGCAAAGCCATACTTACGTTTTAAGAGATTTCTCCAGCCACATACTCACTTTCCCCTCTCTGTCTTAGAGTGAGCGGCTTGGAGACATCTGTTTGTCCTTGAGGTATGTGCCTACTGCGGGGAAGCTGACAGTGGTGATTTTGGAGGCCAAAAATCTGAAGAAAATGGATGTGGGTGGATTATCAGGTGAGTCAAACAGCAGCAAACTGGATTCACACACTAGATTAAAGTTGAAACTCCATGTCAGTTCAGAGTTCTTCAGTACCCGACCTATTCCTCTTCTCTGCCATGATAAAGTAACACTTTTTAATCATTCAAATAATAAAAACATATACATGTCTCTGCACTCTTCATAGCATGACTAGGTGCACCCTTAATAGCCTACAAGTCTGGTTAAGCATTAAGCCCTTACAACTTCTTTTTTAAGTGGTGTGTCGACTTTCAGGCAGTTTCTATTTCGGGGAAACTGTCAGGAGCTACTACAATAGATGTTGTGTTTCACTGATGGAGTTACTGCATCAGTGCCAGGCTGTTGCTCTGACATAAAACCTCTCTGTTCTCTGTGTCAGACCCTTACGTGAAGATCCACTTAATGCAGAATGGGAAAAGGCTCAAGAAAAAGAAAACAACGATAAAGAAGAACACTTTAAACCCTTACTACAACGAGTCTTTCAGCTTTGAAGTGCCATGTGAACAGATAGAGGTACATAAATCCGTACACACACATACAGAGGCACATGCAGTCAATCATAAATTAATCAATTTCCTTTGTGTGTGTGCGTGTCTATTTTCATTTATAGAAGGTGCAAGTAGCAGTGACTGTGCTGGACTATGATAAGATTGGGAAGAATGATGCCATCGGGAAGGTGCTGCTGGGCAATAACAGCACTGGGACTGAGCAACGGCATTGGGAAGACATGCTGGCAAACCCTCGCAGGCCAATAGCTCAATGGCATAGCCTCAAACCAGAGGATGAAATCAATGTGCTAATTTCTAACAAGAAATGAAACTGTGACCTCAGTGGGCAATGTGTCCTTGCAGCATTTACCTCAACTACGTCCAGTTTATATTCCTACCTCTCCCTTAATTTTCCTTAAAACCCTGTACTAAGTAAAACTACCTAAAAATAACCTCCCTGTTGCACTCCTGGCACTATTCAAGTCACTCCTGTGGACTCTAAACCTTCTTCCTCCTGTATTTCCCTCCTCCTGCTTCTACCAAAACTGCTACAAAGAATTTTAAACAAAGATGCATCACTATGTACAGTGCTATTAAATTAAACCAGATTTTTAAAACCTTTGTGTGTTTCTTCTGTTGTGTGCCGATCAAAAACATGCACGCTAAGCCTGATATAAACATGATTAACCTGCAGAGGGAGACAATCCAAAGGCTAATGAAATGAGATTGTCATATGACTGCTATTGTGTTTCTAAATTCATAACATTCACTGTTGCATTTTCCTAGTTAAATTTCCTAGTTCAATTTCCTTTGATTGTAATTTACTGCAACATCTCACAATAAAATTACATGATATGAAATGATGAAAAGGAAAGTACACCAGTTATGGTGTTGGAGTACAGCCTAGACTGAGAGAAATGCCAACATAAGTGTCTTGGCATCATCATTTCCAGACAGGTTTCTCTGCAGCATTACAGCCAAAGTGGCAGAACGGGCTCACAACAAGAAAATGATCAAATATTTTCCCTCTGTCTTGGACTTGGACTTTCCTAAGAATAATACAATTCTTAACTACATTCTTTCCAATGTGATACATCGTTTCTAAGATTATTCAATCTTACATGGTAAATGAGAAGTGAAGCATCACCCATCCTCTCTAATGTGTTGGTAGATGGTATGTGTGGTCACACTTCATAACATTTTCTTCTGGCAGAGCCTGGCAGTTTGAAGTGTAGATGGCAATAAAATATGAATCAAAACAACATTAAGTTCAGAGTGCATCCTCACTCATATGGTGTACACCTCTCTATGCAGAACTGTAAAAATAATTCCTTATCATAATTTTGAGAGGGTTGATTCATCTATACAAAGTCAAGAAGCATTATAAGCCTCGCAGTTATTGGAATACAGTAAAGCTTCATTTAAAATTCCAGTGCCAATTAAACACCCAGTCCTTTTTACTAGCCCAGTGTAGCTATGTTTTGACAAATAAACCCCTGTCTGGTCTGGTTGCCGAGAAGTTCATTTTTATAGATGTTTTTGGATGCATAAAGCCAGATCCTTGGCTACCCACTTATACACACAATTACAAATGTTTAAACTTTTGTCAATATGGAGATGCTACACATCGTTAGCTCGGTAAGATTCTCCACAATTCAATCGTTGAGTTCATTTTGCTGAAACCATGAGCACCAAAGAATAATTCTTTCAGATTTACTGGGATGGTAAACAAGAGAGATGAAAAAAGATGGTCACTTTCTACATCTGAGGCTGTCATAAAGTCAAATTATGTGTCTATTTTTACCCAGTCGGTTATTTATATTCCTTTAGTCCGTAAGAGTCCTAAGATCAAAAGAATCAGAAGGGTTTTTCATAAAAAATAATCCAAGTTGTGAATATGGTTTTGACAGGTAAAGTGGTGTTGTGTCGGTATGCCAGGTGCCGTCAAACGAGTGCCGTAACTCGGTCCCTCACTGATGCCCTGTCTGTCAGAGCTAGATCAAATGAATGATCCATAATTAATGTTATTCGAAGCCTAATTTTTACACAAGTAATATTCATACTGGTTTAAATAAACAATTTGATAGTATTTCCCATCTTTGCTGAGCAACAGTTTAGTGTGAAAGGAATTAAAGGCCTGTCCCATATAGACACCTGTCCCAAATATAGGCCTATTGACGTCAGTGATTCAAGAAAATAATAGCCTGGGCCATGGTATACTGCATTGGACTATATTATATTGTGCAGATGTTGCGTACATTTTGACAGACCATGCATATGCTTATACAACAATCAGCAGACTGCTATCCTGCTTCTAAATGTGGCAATTATTTAATCGTTTCATACAACTTAAACAAAGCACAGCACGTAGAAATAGCAATAGAAAGCCTTTACTTTCATTGTACAAAGAGAACACATCGAGATTAAGAGTGCTACAGCTGACCAGGTGCCAACTAAAACAGGCAAATAAAAAACGGACAACATAATCATCATCATCATCATCATCCATAAAATTGAAAATAAATAGTGTAAAAAATAGACTGTATCAAGCTGTTGTACATGTAAAATAAAGTGGCCTATTTAATATATAGTGGATTGCGCTGATTATTAAAATTAAATTAAAAACGAGTGAATTAAAAACAACTTTAACAAAGCACAGCAAACCATATCTGCTGAGGTAACATTAACGTTACTGAGCTTCAGGTTTAGCCCAATGTTAGGCATATGGTAATATTTTTTTCCATTTTATCTATTAATAATTAAGTAATAATTATTTTAATAATTATGTAATAAAAAAATAACTTCTTTAATATTCAATAACCCCTTTCACCAACAACTTAAACTTCAATTAAATCCAATACAACATATCCTGGTGTGAGAAGAGTGTCAACTCCTCAACCCAACAGCATGGCAGCAAAACTGAACAGACCTAACGTTAGCTAGCTTACTTTCGCATCGTTACAATAACTTAGTCGTCGGCAAGAAGTCAAAAAAACAAGTAAGGTAAGGTCAATTTACCATAAAGTTGCATTTTAAGATGGATTTAGTGTTAATGAACATAACGAACGCTAGCTAACCGAGCTATAGCTAACCTAGCTAGCTAACTTTCGTAATGATAGCTACTGTAGCTAGCCCAACTGACGATAGCTAGGTTAACGTCTGTTTCGTGGTGTTAGCTGTACCTATAACGATTTTGATTTCATTACAGTAAGTTGTGAGTTTACTCTTACTGTTCTGCTGTCTGACGGCACATAAGTTATATAGCTTCTGGTGTAATGGTAACGTTATTTGTGGTTGGCGTCCTAAAAACCGTTTACAGTATGTTAACCTTATGGGAATAACCGGAAATTCCCTGTTTTGTGTTTTGTCAAAGACGGTGGATAAACCTAACGTTAATCCAGTATCTTTGGTTTTGTTCAATGGCACTGCCGTTGACCTCCGCTTATGTCTACGTCAAAAGTGTCACGCCCAGGTCATGTCAGCCAGAATTTTAACCCTAACCTTAGAGGTGAAAACTTCCGTGATGGAGCGACAGACCTGCGACTCTCACACACACACACACACACACACACACACACACACACAGACCACAGAGGCGAGTCAGTAACCGAGCCTGTCTGCTGGCTGAGGATGTTGGAGTGACAGAGAATAGAGCAGGCTTACCTGCCCACACAGGTGTAGGCTACTCGTCATCTGCTCAGGGGGGCTGTCGCCGCCGGGTAGGTTTCACAGGTAAGACCGAGCATCGTCCCGGTGCTACCAAACATCCTAAAGCCTTTCCTCCCGGGACCATTGAGATGCACCGTTAACGTTTTCGGCGGGACTTCCTTTCGGACTCTGAGATGAACTTAAAGTGGACAGTGAAACGATTTCTTCTTATGTCGTTTTCAGTCTCCCACTTACTGTTTCTTGAGGGTGAGTGTGACAGATTTATTTCTACAGAATATTATGATAATAAAGTTTGCTGCACAGATATTAATGTAAACTACATTTAACATAGAGGGACATAGGTCTACCATAAGTGGTGAAAAAATCTTTATATTAAGTCACAATATCATTGTATTACAAGTTCTTTTTAAATATTATTGGCAAATCCTATCTTACTGTTTATCTATATTATAGGTCAGAGGTCATTTGCCTTTCTAAATCATCATTCATGAAGCATGTATTGTATAAAACTGCTCTTGCTCACTGCCCTTTCATGTTATTGTGTGGCACCCAACTGCTAAATCATTACAAGTGACAGATGTGAATTATTAAAATGTTTCTTTAGATACATCTAGCTACATTATCAAGATGATTTTATATTAGATAAGTAGCTGATTTTGCCTATTTTGAAAATTAATGTGTACCTTTATGTTTAGGAGCTCAGAGCCGACTTTCAGTGGCAGAAGGAAGACTACAGAGGTAAATCAAAGGAATGGAAATGCAGTACAATAACAGTGTGGCTAAAATATAAGTAATATTGAGCAAAAAAAAGATGATTTTACACAGATAATTCTCACACAATTTTCTAAGCTGGCTGATGAATTAATTTACACTTTCTGTTTCTGTCACTAGAGTGTGTGGCAGCGACAGCGCAAGAGTGTGTGTGCATGTGCACTTGTGCGTGTGAGGTTTCAGTAAAGAGTAGTTTGGAGTTCGAATTCAAGTGGTGTAAAGTGCACTTAAGTCTCCCCTCTGACTGTTTCTCCCCACTAATGTGCATGTTTGTGTGTGTGCAGGAGGGCTAATGCACTTCGGAGGAAACGGGATCTCCTCGGGGAGGAGGTTGGTACATTACACCTAAGAGAACCAGAGGAGGTCAGGGCACCCACATGCGCACAGCACCCTAACCGGCACAAAGCTGTCTTTGTAAAGAATAAGACACACTCACTAACACGTACACTTTCTCCCACTCAACCTGATGCAACTTTTAACTTACAGCAGCAGGTCACCAAACGCTACAGTGCTATGTCACTGATGCTGTTAAAGCTTGAGAATCATTTGAGGAACTACTCTAAGTGTTTACTGTTCACTGTTTTCCAAGACATACAGACCGCTGCTGTCGGAGGGTACTCTGTCACGCAGCATTTTACACAACTACACAGCCAGAGATGCCTCTTCAGGTAAATCCGCTGCTTCTGAAGCGACCCATTCACAGATGCCTAAAACTTTCTTTACTCAGATAGACTGGGGAAAGTGAACTTGAGTTTGTTCGTTGTGTTCTCCCCCAGAATATTGCGGCTGCCTCAATGGTGGCTGGTGTCAGGAGGGCGGTGTGTGTGACTGTGCTCAGTTCCAGGCACTGGGAGACCGCTGCCAGATCAGTGAGTAATACACACACACACCTACATGTCTTCCTTTGGTGTCAGATCAGATTCGTCAGAGTATCATCCACATGGAAGCCTCATTGTTAATTGACAAGCACCATTCCTGGTATGCAGCAGACTAGCTGGTTAGAAGGCTTACAACTTTTTAATAACTGCGCACAGTGTACAGTTACACACTCAGTTATACAGGAATGTGTATGAGATTGTTA